TTGCATATAGATAAAGGCATAACACTGATACTGGCTCCTAAATCGCATAGAGCTTTGTCTATTACGAACTTTCCTATGATGCAGGGTATGGAGAAACTACCTGGGTCTTTTAATTTAGGAGGCATGCGGTTTTGAATAATAGCGCTACACTCTGTAGTAAGTGTAACTGTTTCGTTATCCTCGATCTTTCTCTTATTCGACAGGATTTCTTTGAGAAATTTAGCGTAAGACGGCATTTGAGTTATCGCTTCTGTAAAAGGAATAGTAATGTTCAGCTATTTAAGGAGCTCTACAAATTTCTTAAACTGTCCTGAAGTTTTGGAGGTTATTAGTCTTTGCGGATAAGGAATAGGTGGTTTATATGGCGCTGGAGGTGCTTGAGTTTTTTCACTTGCGGTATCCTCCTTCTCGTCGTCTTCCTTCTTCTCTAACTCGGATTCCTTTTCTGCTTGTTCAGTTGGTTTTTGTTGCATGGCTGAGTTTTCGGTCCTCGGATCGATCGGTTCGTCCAATTCTTTTCCGCTTCTTAGAATTACAACATTTGCTTGGCCTTTTGGATTCTATTCGGGTTGTCCAGGAAACGTGCCAGCGGGTGCGGCAGCAGAGGCTTGTTGTTGAGCCACTTGTGATATCTGTGTTTCTAACATTTTGTTGTGGGTGGCTAAAGCGTCTACTTTTCCGGTCAACTGTTTAATTTGCTTGCTAGTGTGTATGTTTTGATTCAGGAATTCTTTGTTTGTTTGTGCTTGAGTAGCTATGAATTTTTCCATCATCAATTCGAGGTTTGATTTCCTAGGTGCAATCTGAGCAGCAGCTGGTTTCTGATATCCTGGCGGAGCAGTAGGCATTTGCAATGCATTTTCGCTTTTGTAAGAAAAGTTTGGATGATTTCGCCAACCTGGGTTATAGGTATTTGCGTAAGGATTTCCTTGAGCATAATTTACCTGGTCTGGTGGGATTCCGGCTAGCAATGGGCATTCGGGCGCATTATGAGTGGTGCTTCTGCATAACTCGCAATTTGGGGTTACGGCAGCGACGGTTGCAGTGGGGTTGACGGTCAGACTATCAATCTTCTGTGCTAGAGTATCTACTTTAGTGTTGAACTTTTCAAGACTGCTGATCTCGTACATCCCACCTTTCGCTGTGGTTTTCTCTGTTGGAGTGTGTTCACCTCCCCATTGGTAATGGTTTTGAGACATGTTTTCGATTAATTGATAGGCTTCGTCGTATGGCTTATCCATAAGTGCACCGCCCGCGGCGGCGTCTATTGTCAATCTAGTATTGTATAAAAGCCCATTATAGAAAGTATGGATTGTCACCCAGTCTTCTAGACCGTGGTGAGGACATGTTCTCATCATATCTTTGAATCGTTCCCATGCTTCGTAAAGAGATTTAGTATCTTTTTGTCGAAATCCGTTGATTTGAGCTCTAAGCATAGCAGTTTTGCTTGGCGGAAAATATCTTGCTAAGAAGACGTTCTTCAATTGTTCCCACGTCGTAACGGAGTTGGATGGTAAAGATTGTAACTATGTCCACGCTCTGTCTCTAAGAGAGAATGGGAAAAGACAAAGTCTTATCGCGTCTGGAGTTACTCCATTTGCTTTCACCGTGTCTGCGTATTGTACAAACTTCGTTAGATGTTCGTTCGGATCCTCAGTTGTGTTTCCTGAGAATTGGTTTTGTTGTACAGCTGACAGCAATGAAGGTTTCAGCTCAAAATCATTTCGGGTAATAGCTGGGGCAGCAATGCTACTTCTAGGCTCCATCTGAGAGGGTGTAGCGTATGCCTTCAGCGGTTTGTTTGGAGGTCCTTCAGCCATGTTTGATTCTTCTTCGGATTTGGGAATGGGAGTGAGAGGATCGGGAATGTTATGTTTGAGTTGGTACTCAATGATTCGGCTTCTTAGATGTAAGAAGCGTTCTAGTTCTGCGACTGAAGGTTTCAAGATATCGCCTTGTGAGCGATTACTTGGCATACAATCGACAGCACTAGTAAAGGAAAAATGAGAATTGTTAACCTAGTATATACGGCGTAATAGAAGGTTACACTATTGACTAAACGGGTCCCCGGCAACGGTGCCAAAAACTTGATCGCGACTTTCTATGTCTAATACAACCTAACTGCAAGTGCACAGTCTATCGCGTAGTAATAATAGATATCGATCCCACAGGGACTCGTAATCAAACTAGTGTTCTTGGGAGTTACTATGTTTAGCTAGGTAGAATATGTTTAAGGGAATAAAATTTGTCACTAAAGGGAAACTAAGACTGTTACTTAGATTATAATTAATTGAATCGATATGCAGTAATTGTGTTCTTCAGGGATTTGACAAGTTACCGGTGTATGAAATAATTTTCAGAATTTATTTAAGCAGAAAATGGTGATTTGAAGACTCTCGCCTCACGATGGTTATTGACGCTAATCATAATTCTAAGGGCCAAACGTACACTTTCGTATCCCATTCGGGGTTAAAATTATTTTTTGGAAATCTCTAAGTTCTAATTCATTTTAAAGTGCTTTCGCTATTATTAAAATGAATGACTAGTTTTTACTATCTGATCTTACCGCAGCTTTCGCTTGTTGGTTCGTATCTTAATTAATTTCCCACTTTCGTGGCAAAACTACTTTTAAATAAGTTCTCACTTTCGCGACGAAGTTTATTCAGTAAATCAATTTTAAACACTCAGACCATAAATTACTTTTGAAAAGACAGTTTTTCAACCGGTTATTATCGCATCCCTTTCGAATTATTACTACATATCGATTACCTAAATTTAGCTAGACATGGATTTGGGAAAGGTAAAACATAAATGAAAATGATAAATAATAATAGGCAACATAATAAAACTGGAATTACGATTGAAATGAGAAACCTGTAAATATTCCAATTGGCCTTTGGGCAGATCCTCCACAGATGTTGGCAGGATTCTGGTCTTTATGCCAATTTGATCGTACAATGGAAGTAGAAATTACAGAAGAATGAAAGGAATGCAGAAAAAGTAACGAGAAATAAATAAGAATATTAAAAACTGGAAAGGTTTGCTCTGAAAATAAATTTGGCAGCACTTCGTTGTATGAATGCGGCTCCCTTTCTGAGGTCCCCTTCTTCCCCTTTTATAGAAATGGAATTCTAACGGTTATAATTGGAGAGGGTGGACTTTGAGGCAGAATAATCAGGGAGTAGTGGTCCACTATTTGGGACTTGGAACTGCTTCTTTAACGTGCAATTGAAGTGGGGCGTTTTTGCCTGCATGACGGTCGTCACAAGGTGTGAAGGTCATCACCCGTGTGACGGTCGTCATGGAGCTGTGACGGTCGTCACAGCAGCAAAAACATCCTTCTGCGTTTTTCATGATGTTTTCACTCTTTTTTCGTCCATATTTCATCTGAGGTTGCTTCTTTTCTTCATATTGCCTTGTTTAGACGTGATCGTTAAATACCTGCAAAACATCAGACAAATAACACGGAAATAACCCAAAATCGGATCGAAAACAGTTAAACTTTAGTTGAATTATGTATCAAAATATATATACGATTTCGTGTTATCACTCCCAAACATCGTTTAATCTTGGACGGAAAATTCTTGACGGTGTGCTCGTTGTGAATGAAATTATTGACTTAGCTAAGAGAAGAATATATGATGTATCTTGTTCAAAGTAGATTTTTCCCAAGTGTACAATTGTGTTGAGTAGGAATTCCTTGAGAAGCTTATGTTGGCTATGAATTTCAGGGACAAATGGATGTGTTGGCTCAAGGGTGGAGTGCTTAATAGCCATATTTCGGTTTTAGTAAATAGCAGTACGACAAAAGCTTTTAAGGCCACTAAGGGTCTTAGACAAGGGGATCATTTGTCCCCTTTTATATTCTCTATGGTGGTGGAAGGCCTTGCACTATTGGTTATAAGAGCGGTAAAAAGAAGCTATTCAGTGGGTTTAGTTTAAATGGGGAGGGAAAGATTAGTTTAGTTCAATTCAAAGATTATACGGTATTGGTTTGTGATGATAATTGGAAGAATTTATGGGGGATTAAAGCAATACTTAGAGGGTTTGAATTGATATCTAGGATGAGAATTGATTTCTAGAAAAGTCACCTCTTTGAAGTGGGAGTAGAGGATTCCTATATGTGCGCGGAAGCTATGTTTTTGGCTTGCAATTCAGGCAGGCTTCCTTTTAAGTTCATTGGTATTATGGTTGGTAGGAACACTAGGAAGGTAGAGTTTTAGAAGCCGATTGTGGATGCGTTCAAAGCTAAGATATCTTCGTGGAAAGGCAAAATGCTCTAAATTGGAGGTAGGGTGATGATGATAAATTATATTCTCAAGAATCTACCTGTTCATCATCTTGCTTTCTACAAGGCGCCTGTAAAGGTCATCAAGATGCTGGTGGCAATTTAGGGGAGATTCCTTTGGGATGGTTTTGCAGATGCGTTTTCAATTTCATGGGTTACTTGGTCAAATATCTGCAAATCTAAAAGAGGTGGAGGAATTGAAATTAAAATCATTGATGAGTTTAATAAGGCTTTGGTGTCAAAGTGGCTATGGAGGATGATTCATGAACCAAGCGCAATTTGAAAGAAATTGTTGGAGTATATGTATGGGAATATTGCTGAAAGAACTTTGGTGAAAGATGATCTTACGCCTCGTAGTTTTTCTTCCCTCTGGTGGAGGGATATAAGACCAGCTTTAGCGCTGGTTCTTGCTTTGTTCTTCCATAGGATCGCCAGCGTGGCACTTCAAAGGCTACAGCTAGCATGGCAAACGTTAAAGAGAGAGCAACTGAAACATTGTACTTTTCTTTCTTTTTTTAATGAAAACTAGTCGTTCAACAACTAGTTGCTTTTTTTTCAATTTCTTTTTTTATAAATATACTAGTTTATATCTAAAATTCACCAACACAAATTTTCTCTCACTTTTATTTTCTCTTCAATTTGAAATTTCTCTCTCACAATTTCATCATTTTATTCCTAAACATTTTATTTTTTTTCAACAATTTATTCTCAAATGGATCCTAATCATTTTCATTATCAACAAGCTTTCTTCAATTACATGCAAAATTATCAAAATCCTAATCCTCAAAATTCTCAAATTCCATCGGTACTAAACAATTCAAATATGTTTCCTAGACCTCAAATGAATTCTAATAGTATGAAATTCACTACTCAAGTTCCACCATTTTCTACTCAAGTTCCACCATTTTCTACTCAAGTTGGTACTGAAAAAGAAGAAAGGGTTGTCGTTAAAAAAAATCTTGAGAGCAATTTACAAGGGATGAAGATATACTACTTATCCAATCATGGCTCAATGTTTCAAAGGATTCAATTGTGGGGGTTGATCAAAAGGCTGAGAGTTTTTGGTTAAGAATCGATGCTAGTTATAACCAATATCATGGGCAATCGCGGGAAAAGTCAGAGGGACAATTAAAATGTCGATGGCATCGAATAAATGGCATGGTTCAAAAATTTGTTAGGTGTTACAAAAATGTTGTTAAAGGAAAGAAAAGTGGGACATCAGAGTTGGATATCATGTCAGATGCACATGCTTTTTTTGCTCAAGATCAAGGTACAACATTCAATCTTGAGTACGCGTGGCGATTGTTAAAAGATGAAGCTAAATGGTGCATCGTCGGAGAATCGATTGGAAGTTCTTCAAAAATAAAAAATACTTCTGCTAGTAGGGCATCATCGGAGAACCCAGATACAACTTCAAGTTATGAGTTTAACTCATCATCACCAATGGAGCGTCCAATGGGACAAAAAGCAGCAAAAAGGAAGGGTAAGGCATCGGAAATTCCAAATGCAACGCAAGATGCAAGGAATAAAAGAGCAGAATGCATGGAAAGACTTGCACAATGTAAGGAGGATGAGATAGAATTAAAGGTAATACAAATCATGACGAAGGACACTTCTACTATAAGTGATAGTCAACGAGATATTCATGAAAAATATTGTAATAAGATGAAAAAAAAATATGGAATGTAGTTAATATCACTTATGTAAAATGGTCATTACTACCACTTTATTTTATCAACACTTATGTAAAATGGTCATTAGTACCACTTTATTTTATCAACACCTATGTAAAATGGTCATTAGTACCACTTTAAATTAAACTAGCCGTTATTCAAACTAGTCGTTATTCAAACCATTATATATACTACCACTTATGTCATTATTTTATCATTCTCATATTTACCACATATCTCTCATTTTTCTCTCATTCTTTACTAACTACAGTGGATTCAGAAAATTCAGATAATAACGATCAAGAATTTCTGGTGTTGGTTGAAGAAGAATTTATGGATGACAATGATAAAGAACAACAGCTTCAGAATTATGGGAGTTCTTCTAGGCGAAAGAGAAGAACAACTATAGGTCGGGGTCACGAAGAAGGGCATAATCGATTAGTCAATGAATACTTCTCGGAAAACCCAGTATACACAGATGTTCAATTCCAAAGAAGGTTCGGAATGCATAGGCATGTATTTCTTCGAATTGTAGATGCCCTTGGCAATTATGATAAATATTTCCAAATGAGGGTCGACGCAACTGGTAAAATGGGTCTTTCACCATTGCAGAAATGTACAGCTGTTATTCGTATGCTGGCGTATGGGTCTTCTGCTGACCTTGTAGATGAATATGTTCGAATCGGTGAAAGCACTTCAATTGAGTGCTTACAAAGATTTGTTAAGGGCGTGAATGTTGTATTTGGGGCTGAGTATTTGAGAAAACCTAACAACACTAATGTTGAATATCTTTTACAAATGGGAGAGTCATGTGGCTTTCCAGGTATGTTGGGTTCCATTGATTGTATGCATTGGGTATGGAAAAATTGTCTTGTTGCATGGAAGGGACAGTTTTGTCGATGTGATCATGGTAAGCCCACAATCATGCTTGAAGCAGTGGCATCGCAAGACTTGTGGATTTGGCATACTTTCTTTGGTATTGCAGGTTCAAACAATGACATTAATGTGCTAAACCAATCCAACGTGTTTAACGATATTTTGGAAGGACATGCTCCCAATGTGCAATATACAATCAATGGGACACCATATAATATGGGATATTATTTAGCAAATGGTATATATCCTGAGTGGGCTACATTTGTCAAGACCATTTCAATGCCACTGGGAGAAAAGAAATAATTATTTGCTCAACATCAAGAATCGGCTAGAAAAGATGTGGAGCGGGCATTTGGAGTACTTCAATCTCTATTTACAATTATACATGGCCCAACACGTGCCTGACACATGGACATCATCAAGCATACTATATATGCCTGCATCATATTGCACAACATGATTGTGGAAGACGAACGACATACATATGGAGGTAATTTTGATTACTCTTATGATAATGTGGATATCAATAACTCAACAACTAAAACATTTAGCGGTCCTCATCCGAATCTTGCAACAAGACTATAAAAAAGTGCAAGTATTCGTGAAAAACAAGTTCATCGTCAACTTCAAGGAGATCTAGTCGAGTATATTTGGGAACGTTTTGGACATGAAGATGATGAAATTTAAATTTGATTAATTATGTGATGTTATTTATTTTTATTGTTTTTAATTATATATCATGTATTTGAGATTAATTTTAATTATCATTTTGATTATAAGTTTAATTTGAATTTTATTTATTTTATATCAATTTTAATTTAAATAATTAAAATTATTATTTTAATTAATATAAAATTTAATATGAATAATATATTAATATATAAAGTAAAGTTGTGGGACTCAATATGAGTTTTTCAGAGTTACACCATTTGAGTGAAAAACTGAATGAGTTGCTTCAAGCTGACGTGGCTTAATAGGTCCCACAATGAACCCGAAAATAGGTTCACGGTTGGAGATGATCTAATGATGTTTGGAGATTCTAGTGATGCAGCAGGTTTTCTTGGACTGTTGTCTTGCAAATTAGGGGAAGGTTCTCTTGTGTCGTTTTGGAATGTTAGATGGCTATATTCATTTCCATTAAGGGTTCGGTTCCCAACGTTATTCTCTATCTCAAATTTCAAATGTAGCTCTGTTGAACAATGTGGGGTCTGGTTGGAAAATGCATGGCTATGGAGGTTAGGGTTTGTTGTCAACACTATGGAGGAACATGCAATCTCAAATCTCAATGAACTTTTGGATCTTCTTGATGGAGTCATCCCTCGGCCAAGGTATCCATGTCATCTTGTTTGGTCTAGTGCTCCTCTAAATTAGTTATCTGTCAAGGCATGTTATGACAGCATTATGTGAAGTCGGGTTGAGGGTGAAATAAACATTATTCTCAAGATTGCGGTTGATTTAATGTGGCATTCTTTCTTTCCAATGAAGGTTAAAAAAATTGGTGGAGATTATGCTTGGATAGGTTACCTTGTCCCTCGAATCTGGCGGTTAGGGGAATAATATCAAATTCACACGACTTGGTATGCGTCTTCTGTTTTAATTCCGTAGAATCCTGTAATCACTTTTTTTTTCTCTTGTCCTCGTATGCGTGTCGTTTGGATATTGTATTTGATTGGGTGGAAATAGAATGGTTTGATGAAAACACTTGTTGTCAACACTTATTTAAGTGGTTTATGAAAATGGTGGGTAAGTGCTCGAAGAATTCGACTTCTTTGATTTGGATTTGTACTTGCTGGTGCATATGGTGGTCGAGAAATCAGATTATTTTTAATGATGCGTTTGGAAATCCGGAGGAGATTTTTCAAATGATTATATACTATTCTTGATGGCGGTTAGCTCTCTCATCTAACCGTAGGTTTAAGTGTAATTATTACGAATGAAGTAAACATTCTTCCAATTTTTTTAGGTGTTTGTGATTGTTTTTTATCAGAGTTGGAGTTATAATTTATGTACAGTAACATATTGAATTGAAATACCCTAATATTCCGTTTGAATATACTTTTACTTATAAAAAAAGTGATGCAACATAAAAGTTGGAAAAAACAAAATATAAACAACCAATACTAACAAGAAGTCAATTACATATTTCATACAAACAATTCTTTTCAAATTCGTGATTGAACCATTTCATTAGAACTTAAATTTTTTATTCTTTTTAAACACGAGGTTTCTATTTGCACTTCTTATTATCTTTTAGTTTTTTTTTTCTAAGTATTCCACCTTTTTAGTTGAAAGAATCTAACTTGTAATAATTTCAACCTATTACTCAAAGTAAAATACCTGTATTCCTCTAATTTTGTGTATATAAACTTATTCAATATTTTCCCCTTTTTCTTACGCTTTCCTCACCTTTTAAAAAAAAGAACTTTTTTTTTTGGATAATACAATAGCCCATTTTACCTAGCCTATTAAATATTATTGCACAACTTAACTTAATCATAGAGTAAGGTTATCCTATAATCTAAATTAAATCAAAGTAGGTTAAATGTTGAAGACAACACATTGAGTTCAATTTTTAAATAGAAAATTAAAACAAACAAATATGTACTATTTTATATAGAGAGAATTTCAACAAAGATTTAAGACAACAAACACATTAAGTTCTCTATAGCATGAGAACAACTTTTATTATAATTAAAATTAAAACCAAGTACTACATTCTTTGTGACTAATTCCACGGAAGGCAAATAGGATTATGTGTAGGCGACTTTGGTTCTGGAGTTCTACATGGTCCTGATTTGAATACATTCCAATTACAATAATCACAGTTAGCTCTGGCATTATCACCATCTATGTATATATCAAACCAATGTAATTCACCATTCCATGCAAAGGAACAGAAGAATAATGTTTGGCCTATAATAAATGCAGGACGGAAGCTGAAACTAAAACCTTCACCATGATGCAAAAGATGAACTCCGAGATCATCTTCTTTAGATTTACAATGAAGAGTTAAGTCTAAATTGTCTTCTAAAGAGTTAACAATATTGACATGAACTCTAAAAAGATTCCCAGGTGAGTTAACAACATTCACATGAACACCGGGAACGTACTGCACAGATAACAGCATCAACATACATATTACCACAACTTTTTGGTTAAATGGAGACATTGTACCTTTGTTTAAATTTTTTTGGGTTTGAAAATAATTGATATAGAAGGAAAAGAAAACCTATATTTATAGGATGTTTTAAGGAAAGAAACACATGTAAATAAAAGCAGAAGAAAAGATCAGTCAATAATATTAAATTGCAATAAATTCTTTTAACAGCACTCTTTGTTTTTTTTGTTAATTTGGTCAAATTATTTTACCTATAAATATTAATATATATATATCCTGAACTTTGAAAATATTACTCCTTCACAAAAAACAAAGCAACCCAATCAAAATTCTTATTAAAAATAAAGTCAAGAGTACATTGTTTACGGGTCTTCGCGGTTCGGTTTTATCGATTTTGAAATAAAATATTATTTTATTTAAAAATAGATTTATTTGCGCTTCAGTTCAATTTTAGATGATTGATTTAAAAAATTCGATCCAATCCAATCTATTTTTTTACGGTTTGATTTAGATCAATTTTTGAATATCTAAATTACAAATTATAATTTTATTAATATTATAAACAAACTAATAAATAATGAATTTGATATAATATATAACATATACTATATTAAAAAGTTAATATTATAAAATTATAATAATTTGTTATGATTGAATGAAATGAAATTTTAAAATTTAATAGATTAAATCAAACTAATGAATAATATTTTTTAAACAAAAAATATCATCTAATAATTAATTAACACGACATATTTGACTAATAAATAAATAAAGTGTGTGTGGGATTCGGTTTGTTTTTGATCGATTTTAAAAAAACCAATTTGAAATTCAATCCGAATCGACCGGCTTTTACAAAATGACATCCAAACACATTCAATAATTTTTTATTTTTTTTCGGATCAATTTTTAATTTTTATTTGAATTTAAACACCCCTAACTTAATCTAATATACCGACAAAGTACAACTGACAAAAAAAATTGATAACACTTCAGTACCCTTAAATTTTGTTGATTAATCATAT